GTAATATAAAGATATCCAGGCCAGTTGTGCTATCGGCCGGACATGTGCTGTCCATCTGTATATCACTGTGACTGGGATTGTTTAAAGTAACAGAGGGCAATTCGTTTGTTAATATTTCAAGCAAATAACCCGACGCTTTGTCACGTTGATAAAGCCAGGAACTCGTTGGGTTTATGCAATGTAGACGCTTTGTCGTAGACAATGTTATACTGGAGGACTTGCTTTTGTGAATAAACATAAACAAATGATATGCTTTCAAAAAGAGAGAAGAAATGTCAAATTTATCATTTAAGCATAGAAACGATGCTTGATATCCGGCCTTCTGTGAGATAGGCAGGAAAGGGTAGGTTTCCTTTTGATGATATTGTATTTTTACAACACTGAATCTGAAAGAGGTTTGTACTTCATTTCACGATAAAATTACCGTCAAATCTTTCGTGCAACAGGAATAAATAAATCCACATTTCAAAACTAGGAAATTTATTTTCTGAAGTTTTCGAAGTACATGAGGCGGGACTAGTTAGATAAGATGAGTTCTATCAATCTACAATTTATCTGTTTATAGTATGTGACATTTTTGGAAGTAATTTATAAAACATTCAGAAAACAAATGCAATACCTGTATATACCTGAATATATTTAAAGTTGACAGTTATGGAGAAATATATGGTTGTTTTTGAAAATATTAAGATAACATTAATGGCTTTCATAACTAAGAACATTCATATTAAACTATAAAGACAATCATGATAAAACGTGGAAATTATCAATGTTGGTTGGATAATTATTCGAATGTATATTATCGGTTTCTTACTCAAAGATCTACTAGAAAATAAATAGGCAATATATTTGATCGAATCATAAGCATTTATCGTATGTGGAAAATTATTTGTTTCCCCCCAAAAAAGAAGACTGTTAATCGATCATGACGCAAGGCACTGACTGACAGTGAGACTCAATCATAGCGATACTACTGTGTACTACTGTGTGGGAACTCGCATTACTGTCGTGGATGTCGTGGTTTAACGCGCCACACTCGTGTCCTTTATAGAAAAACAGGAATGTTTCAAAACATATACTTTAACCTAAATGTTACATGTGTCTCAGTGCAGAAGATAATAACTGGGTCTTTTTATCACATCGCAATTGCACTATATTAATTAAACTATGTAAAACATTGTTAAAAAAACCGAAACATTTCTTTCGACTCAGCCGTGTGTGGTGTTTTAACAAGCCACACGCATATTGTTCATATGTATTTACACCAGACTCCAATAGGCGGAACTGTTTTGTGTAAGAAGCTGACTAAATCGTACGTCCTATTCATTATGAAGGTGAAGTAGACAAATGTCCCCACAAGAAATACAGTGTTCTCTACTCTACAATTAAATGTATTCCAAGAACGCTAGGCAAGTGGAATCATCTGGTATTCTGGCAAGACCTGAATTCATTGCCACTAGTTTGAGTGTCGGAAAATCCTCTATTCTTTAGCAGAGGCGACGAAAATGTCTTTGAAGAGAATGGGTTGTTTGGTAAACTGTTAAAATAATCAAAGCAAGCTAAGCTATTATCCTTCATCTGTCTTAGGACCACTTGACAGTTAAATACGGGAGCTCTGGTGTTGACAACCATGGATTAAAGGAGGGTGGGGTATATGTTAACCAACTGTGTATAACAGAGCTGGTAGGCTTACCTTGACATTTTCAAAGTACATCAACCGTGGTACCCATCAGTTCATATTTCCTACAGCAGTGGAGCATTCGTTATCTCCGGAATATACTTCCCTCTAATATGCACAAGAGGCCATCCGTTTCCTGAAGAAAATATTTTATTTTCTAACTTTTGGAACAGTAAAGTATTACATTCAAATCTAAATTCGATGAAACTTTAAGCCTGCCTGACTGTTATACTGCCATATAAAATAAGAGTTAAATTAAACTTGTTTTTCAATTTCTAAACATCTGTTTAAAATGAATATAAGATACTTTGATTAAGGAAATATATCACATGATGAATAACTAATTTTCATTCATTAAGTTTGCATGTTTATATGTAAATAAGAGATGTTGAGTTCCCCCTGTTGGTGATCTATCCCTTATATATAATAAACGTTGTATTTGGGGCGTTTTAATGGATTCTTTAATGATGTATATACAGTTCCCATATTGAGATATATCAAACTATTTTCCTTTACCCATTTGTTTTATTTTATTTTCATAATACTAGATGTTAAAATGTTTTACACGTATGATAGTTTAAATTTAGAAAGAAAGCATCTCTTCCGTTCTGTTCTGATTCAGACATTGTTTACATACACGTCCTACATCATTCATATTTCCCATAGGCATTAACGATATAAAATATCATTATTCTTATAGTACATGTTTCGAAGTTAAGTAGGCATGTCTGAAACACTGCTGATATTTGAAAACAAATTTGAACTGTACTGAATTTCTGAATGCTTTCTGGTGTTTCTGCATTTTTTCATTTTATGAAACGTGGCAGATAAACATATACTTCTTTAGTGTTGAAGATTCATTAGGAAACCATTCCCGTAATGCACTTAATGAGTTGGCCTATTACAAATTTCAAGTAAAAGCAACCCTAAATTGATAGCGGATAGACTTGTGTGTACAATAAAACACGTAGGTATTCTCGCCCTATTTGACGATTGTAACTTATCTAGGGAAACAAATGTGAGCCGTAGTGTAGGATACTTCCCTTTTCACAAGCACCTGGTAGCATTACTATTTGGAAGTGATGTATACGCACGTCTTCGACTTTGTGTTATTACAGATAGCGATGTGTCGTTTTTGTTTGAACATCACTCCAACACCATATATTTGTTTTCAGACAGAAAAGTGTCCATGAGAAAAGAGTAACGTACCTATGACGACTCACTCGTCACGGGGCAAGTATATATTATAACAGATAATCTCTATCGTTTTTTTCTTAAAAGATCCCATTAAATAGAGGATATGTTATGAGTGCCCATGTCATACTATATTATGTTTACGACACGAGTGCCTAAATGTTGTAATTTCTCGAGCGAGAGCTTTCGATATACCGATATTGAGGCACGAGAGTCGTGAACATAGTATTATATGGGCACGAATATAATATTCTGTTTATTACCAAAGACGTCAAATTGAGGTAAATAAACCAAAATCTATTTTCAAACATAGGCAGGCTACCCGCCTTCGCCGAATGTAGAACGCAACGTCACAGATTAAACGTGACGTCAAAGCATTGTTCATGACGCCACGTCACGATGACTAAGTGATATTTTGCCCAAGGGCATCGTATGAAAGATATGAACCCCGATATTTTCACCCTCGTATGTAATAACAACCAATTATAAAGCATAGTAAATTAAAACGGCAAAACCCTTTGCATGTTTATACGAAATGTGCGATTGTGTGTCCCCGACTACATCCTGAGCATGTGTTTATGAATCACTATAAATAGTGATGATACCAGGTGAACTGATCCTGCCGTCCGGTGGCACCCGTCTTGAACATATGCAAAGGAGAATCAATTGTTCACCTGAACAAAATCAGGAACGTATGGTACAAGTTACAATTAGGGGATTGCATCGGATATCATTTTGTCACTAATACGTCAAACTTTGAAATTTCCTCCATATATTTACGTTTGACACTGTATTTGAACATATAAAAGATAAACAATAACAAAATAAACACGTTCAAATCATGCTGGCAGCTGAGCTTCAAATAGTTCAAATCTTTGGTAGTCATTAAGAAGTTGAAAGAACATAAATATATCACACCTTTTCTATAGTTGGAAAAGCAAAATACACATAAACCATGCTTGTTCAGACCCATACTATACAATGTGATCAGTGATCCATAATTACTGTAATTCACATTCGTTGAGATACAATGAAACTTCCCGCATAACTTATAAAATGCTTTCTTCAATTGATGACATGACGCTGTGGTGGAAACTATCCCATAATCGATAGGATTTGATTGTTTATGTATATGTATACAATTATATACAATGAACCAACCATGATTTTCAAAACTACACATGCATCTGACTTTATCAGAAGGAACATTAATCTCTACACATATATCGACACACAAGGTACTATAGCTACTTGGGGATGCCGACCAAGCATAACGCTAGCCAAGATCCCAGGTCGCTGTTCATGGTGTTAGGGACGTTGACTACGGCGGGTGCTACGGCCACAATACAATCTCACAACAATGCAGCATCGATCTGGCTCCAAATGAGCAACGCTCAATCTCTGTACACAGAACAAAGACTTGTCCGCACTGATTTCTCCAACTCCCCACTATAGCGCTTCGGTCGCAATCATGACATCTTGAGGACATGATTGGTTGTTGTGTTAAAATGTCATTTCTGTAGTTTTTTTCTCTAAAACCATACATTTATTATTTTTATTGCTGTATTTGCATGTTGGGGATACAAGCTGTGAGGATTTTGGAGAAAGATTTTCAACTATTTCCTCAAGTCATATCGTTTAGTTCTTGTTTTAACACTCATGACAGAGTCATTACGAGTAATCTTAAGATAAATACAGACAATATTTAAAAACATAGTACTATTTACCATTATGATAATTTTAGGCATGTTTTAATTCATTTTGAAGTCACAGAAGTCAATAGGCTGAGAATTTCATGTTCCATTTTACGTCCACGTGTATTTGGGCCGTCGCTTTTGTCGAGCCTGCATGTACCGTTATCAAGTGTATCGTGCCAAACACCGGGTAGTATCAGAAACATACGCTTCGTTCCTTCTCTACCATGTGAATGACGTAATTCTATCACGTGTCGTCGCGATTTCATCCCAGGTAGGGAGATGTGCACTGTCGATCAAAGCTAGACACGCCCACTGCGGTCCCGCCTCGTCCAATGAGAGCGAGCTGGGATGAAGATGCAACATTGGCAAGTTGCGGGAGTTGGACACTCTAAACATTATTATCACGGAGTTTGGATGACATGTGGCTCAGATATCTACACTGGCGTGTGTGTTGAAACCTCGGATTATATCTCCATGTCTTTGTGATAGCCTGGGATTTTATCAAATAAGCACAGGTAGGTCAATGTTTTAAAACACAAAATTCCATCATACTTGAACGTAAAAGCATGCTTTTAACGTCAGCTTCCTGTCAACACGTCTCACGCACTCGGAAGTGTATGTTTTTGTGTACACTTATGAATTTTAGCAAGTTTACTTTTAAAAGTAAATACTAACGGAAAGTACACAGCGAGTGTAGAAAATAACATATTTAAATTTGTTAATTCTTTACTTATAAATCATACTCTGTGTTTCTTTCCAGTCTGACCTTTTAACGTGTACACTAAAATGTATAAGTTAACCTACTTTCGCAGAGGACCGCGACAATCACTTCCCTTAGTCGTTAGCAAATCACGTTCCTTATTTTCAGAAGACATTTGAAAGGGTGACAACATATTTATTTATATACATACGTATATTAAACAGATCGACTGTATCAGTTTAGTTTTATATGCATGACACCATACCATTAAATCAATTACATGTGAACGTTCAGCTTATCTGATAAATATGTAGATTTTTGCAGGTCAATATTCAATCGAATATTTTAGCAGATTCAATCGAATATTTAACGTTTGAACTTGTTTACGACATTTAGCAATAACTCCGCATAAAATTATTTACGTAGATAGTAAACACATTTTGTATATACATGGCATGGATTAGTGTTGTGAACTGTTAGGAATGTGTCACGGTAATAGGAGGGAATATGTATGTATTTTCATGAAAACAATAACGTATGTTAAGGAATGGATTTCACTGATATTCATTTTCTTTATATATGTAAACATTTTCTTTATATATCCTTGGGAAATATAACACTCTTTAGATTTATTTCAATATACTAAACAGTAGCATAATATGACAATATTTTAACAATAAAATTATAACATCATTTAACTATTCATAATATTGAACATATACAAAGCGTGCCATTAGTATGATAATTAGAATTTTATATGAAACAGTTGTTATATCAAGTAGGCGAAGGAATAACTAATTTATGGTATAAAACACTGCAAAGTGATCAGTAATAGCCATCTTTGCAGGAGAGTTGTAATCACCAACCGACTCATTTAAGAATATGAGCACCATAAATGACTGTAAATAAATAAAATTTAGGTATGTAAGTTCGAGAATTTACTTTTCTTACAACGACAGATGGGTGCTGACATCAAACGATAACACACACACACACACACACACACATATATATATATAAACAATACTCTCTCGCTCTCTCCCAAAACATACACATGCATACACACATCTTATATATATTAAAATATGCACATGCATATATTGGATATGCGACTGCATCAAGGAACTAGCTTTAACATATGTCCGTGCTCTATAAGGGATGTATCTTTAGCTAGTGTGATACGATGTTGCCGTCTAAGAAATATACATAACATATACATAACACTTGATTAGAGTAAAACAAATATAACGAAATTATATGATCATACGTACAAAAAATAACAGCTGTTCATTTTAATAGATAGTTGTGATTATCACATGCTTATATTAACCGAAATATATTACTGCTATTTCATATCTATAAAGTGTTACGACTAATTTCGGAGAATGTGGATTTACTGATTCTTTTAATTGTATATTGGCTTAGGATAGCCATCTAATGTTAAACAATAAATTCTGTAGCCATCAAAGGTGGAATTATCTACCAAAGACTTAGAAGAATAGGTATACATGGATAGCAATAAGATATACAAGGTGACTGGGAGATACATATTTAGAAAGGTTTTCTAAATATTATTAGGCATTTAAAATACACGTGAACACATTACAACTGAATAGTTCGTGTAACTTGGTATAAAGTCAAGTACAGGATATTATAATCAGACTCTATTATGCAAATAACACGTGCTGAAAAGAAAATATTGTTGCACCAATACATTTAAAACAATGTTTCTCATGAACATGTCATAAAATGTTATATTTCTAGTTAAGAACATATGTTTGTGAGAGAGACATGTTCAATAAAATAGTACACACATAACCACAAATATATCAACACTATCGTGATGTTAGGTATCACACTTATATGATAGGAATAATTCATTACTGCAAGTACGGTATGATCAGAATATCTAAAATGAAATCATCAATTCATGCCCCGTCTTATTCTAATATTATGACCAGAAACGCTTACCAATCTTCATAGAACATGTGTATGTTTGTTGATGTGTGTAGTTGATGAAAATGCGTATATGAAATACCCCAAGCATCTTCACCCAGAGAATTGTCCTGCTAACTAAAACAGTATTTATTTTACGGAATATCCCGAACTGTCAACAACCAAGATGAAACAATGATTATATTTATAAGTGAATAAACGTACATATAAAAGTACAAAAATGCTTCGAAAACGCATCATGTGAATTATATAGATCTGATATGTTTTTAATTGGTATTGACAGAGCGAAATATTCTTTCGGTCATATGTTTGTATAAAAAGATACCAATCGCCATTTACTCTTTCAATTAATAAGTAGTTAATGAACGAGGAGATATTACTATGAAAATAGACAATAGATATTGTTCGGTATCTTCACTTTTACCCCCATTAAGTGACACCCTGTAGCTAACCACCGCCATCTTGGGCTGTCATATTTGCAATAAAAACCATATCAAATGATATCATTTACAAATATTAGTTTATGAAGGATACTATCAACTAATATCCCACGCTGAAGCAGGCGACCATGCTATTAATACTATTTAACATCGAATGTTGGGAGGAGCATGTCACCCGTTCATTTATACACTAAACAAATATTTATTTAGTGCTGAATCATATCAGAACCCGTGTGTTATTTGAATAAGACTGTGCCAGATAAAGTGTTTGATAATGGCATTATGCTTCCTATAAGTTATTATTGTAGATGGTATCAGACAAGCACGTGTTGATGATAAGAGAGGGTCCTGAATCCACGCGATGGTACGTTTATACTTGTTATGCAACAACATATGAATATCCAATATATATATATATACTTTAAAATAACAACTTGCCTTTACTGCAACCGGTTTGCACACTAAACAATAAGAGAGATTTTGATAAACAACATATTAAAGACTGTTAAACTGGTAGTTGATTTACTGATAATATGGATACCAATCTTAGAATACAATAAATTAATCCTATGCATTCTGGCTATGGAACCTTTGTATAAAATCTCTTAAGGATAATCGTGAAGGTGCTGACACATCTGTACTTCTGTGTTATATAAGGGTAACATGATACCAGTATTAACCTAAATATACATGCATGATTAAGGTGCTATCATCGGAATGGAAACATGGTATTGAAAGACTAAACAAATTGAAGTCAATAAGTAAAGTCATTAAATCATACATGTTCTGATATGATATGAAATAATAGTAATATCGCAAATATGATCGGAACTGCTTCAACATTAGTAAATAATGCATTCATGCATGCCATATTGTGACAATGGCGGTGCCTCTGTAGCATGTGCATGGTAAGAGCAGTGAGATAGCCAGAGACGACCTCAAGGAGACAAACAACCAATTCTGTGTTGGAAAAAGTTCTGGCACCTTGTTCATGACCTTTGTGCTTGTTGTCTTCAGAAGCGTTCAAAGCCGGTTACACATGCTATGGCCATTTCATATCAACGTGTTATATTTGAATGGCTAAAGCCACAAAACACGTGGTCGTATGTTTACAATGATGTCATCGGATGTCGTGTGGCAGGTGGATTACAATCTCAAGGATCTGTTGAAGCAATGCAAACTACTCATCTTATTATCACCTTAATTATGTCTGCCTAACTTGTGAATGTGCACAGCCCAATTGGTTTTTGATGGAATAAATGCAAACAGTTTTCACGGAACGTTTCAAATTTGAACAATATATTAACGTTCAACAATATACACAGATGACTTTGGGCGCTGGTTGGTTATTCGAGTCATTAAAGTTTGAAGATGTTTGTTGTTCTTTTCGTTGTTCATGTTCAAAAATGATTCAGGAAGTTCAGAAATAATTTCCAACATATGACCGCGTAATCGGAATGTGAGATTCTCTTTCTAGAACATGCACAATACTGCATTATTCTCGATACTGCACAATCATTATCACATTATTATCATAACCAAATATGAATTTACAGGGAGATCTATACACATATTCATGCAAATTTGTTTTCTTAACTACTCAGGTTTTTATTCAATAATATATATTACTGTTTAACAGCGCGTGTATATTTTCTGAAACTGTCATTCGTGTGGGGTTAAAAACATACATGGTAAATCTTTCATTTCCGATTTGAATATCTTTACTTTCACACCGGAAATATCCGGAGCTGTGACAACCAGCTCGCTGAAACAGCTGCTATTTATTTATAATGTTTAATATTGCTGTTAATAATAAGATGACAATTTATGATTTGTGTTATCATCATGGGTCTTTTTTGCGACAATTTTTGCATATGATTTATTTCTATATATTCTGAAGTTAGCATTTATTATCTGTAAACACAATATTGACAATTGATTTCATATCGCAGCCACTCATAGACGCGTGTCCAGGGTTTATTAATGCTCTGTGTCTTTGTGGTCTCTATTTGACAAATATCACATGCCGTGAGTTATCTTGGAAAACGTCATGATTAAAATTGAGGGTAATAATATACCCATAGTATTTCGTTGGATTCATTTCATCCCCAATCAAACCTCTTTATACAGTTGTAGGTATATCAATACTCATATTGTCATGATTACAATATTTGGAATTTATTAATTCTATGTGTAAAAGTGCCTCAGTATGGAAACAAAACAGACAATGGGTATCTCGAGATATGTATCATTTAAATTACATATCATGTTATCGTAATAAATTCCGATATCTGAGTTAAAACTTTAGTATGTTTGTGCGTGTGGTGAGTGTGTGTGTGCGCGCGCGTGGGTGTGTGCGTGGTGTGCCCGTGCTTGTGCGGTGTGTGTGTGTGTGTGTGTTTGTGTGCGTGGGTGTGCG